TGCCCGGCCACCAAGCCGGCATAACTGCTTCGATCGGTCGGTTCCGTGCGGTTCTCCACCACGCATTGCGTCACGCAACCAGCCGTCGGTGACGCGCGCCTATTCTCGTTACGGAGCTCGGTGTAAACGGAATACGTTTCTCTGGAAGCGGCCGACGCGCCGCTTGGGGTGCGCACGAAATACGGGTACGGGAGTGCGGGGGCGCGCGAGCGAGCGAGTCGGCGGTGCACGGAGCGCACAGTGTGCTCGCGAGGGGTTGCCTGGCCGCACAAGGCACGCCAGTGCAGCCGCCGGTTTACCGCCGCAGGCAGGGTAGTCGCGCGGCTCGGCAAAATGCGTCCAGCTGAGCTGAACTGAAGGCGCGTGCGAGGAGGAGGAGGCTCGTGTCGCCGGCGCAGGCCATCCCCCTTGCTCCTTCTTCTTTCATCCTGTTCGCGACACTTGTCTTCTGAGGATTAAGGCAGGACGACGTAAGTGCGATGCGCGTAGTCCCCCCCCCCCCCAGGTGGTTGCACGTGCCCGCGGAATGGGAAATTCTTCATGTGATGCGCGAATAATATTCTCTCGGGAGCGGAATTTGGATTTTGCAGAGAGTAAAACTCTCTTCCTCGTAGAAATGTTTTATTCGGGGATGTACCTACCCCCCCTCCCCCCGCCGCCGCCAGGGTCGATGAAGGGGCAGATGACGCGCGATGGTCGATGGTCGATTTGTGGATGTGTAGTACGCATCGCCTTGGCGGGAACAATGACAGGTGACGAGAGACATAGTCTACTCGCCACTCGCGACGTCACACAGGTGGAACTTCAGTAAAAAGTTGCTAACGGGGATGAATGGAGACTCGATAGAAATTTTGTTTGCGATATGCGAACAATGGAAATGGCGTGTCCTGACATGCTCCCCGTGATATCGTCCGAAATTATGAAAGGTGTTGAATTCACGAGTTCAGCTGAGAAAGACCGACGCAAAACTCTCTCTGGCGGTTTTAAATGCGATCGTTCGTGCGTCGCGTTGTGCGATAGCTGGCGGAAAAAGTTGATCAAATAATTTGCGCTAGGACGACAAAAGCGTATCCCACTGCGTTTGTGATTAATGTTTCTTGTCTTGGTCGCTTGGCAAACAGCACGACGTATGGCGGCACGTTGAGTGCTTTCAGAACTTCTCTAGCCTCTTTCGTTCTTTACAAGGCTCGACGATCATTATTTTGCGTCGTCGGACAGATCTAACGTATACCATTATCACGTGGAACTATCGTGTGCAACGTATTTTTTATACGCTAGGTGTATATTTTTTTGCCACGTAAGCGCCAAAATACACGGTACCAACATTGGAGTACATTCGATTAAAGTAATTGTAATATTTATTGACTTTTTAATCGATATTTGATACGTTGACGTATAATCGCCATTCAGCAATCATCCTCGCGTTACGAGTGCGCGACTTGAGTTTACGTTAGTATATCTATTCATTCGGCCAATGGCGTTCTAGAGCTCGAGCTAGAGTCCCGACCGCGACGTTCGTCGCGTTCGTCGTTCGCTTTTTCAGCGGAACAAAAAGGAAGAAGAAATCGCCCAGGTCGATTCTAACAGCGCCGGCGAGTCAATCGAACGAAACTTGACAGTGGAAAGGGCATAAAAATAGTAGACAGAGAGGGTGTACTTGGCTGTAGAAATATCGTGAACGATGTTATCCCGCAATGCCGGGGGTCGTCCTTGCTACTCGCGCGATCGCCGCCGTTACGCTGTGTCAAGGCGAACTGCATACGTACGTGTGATATCAAGATCGGCTACCGATAATTCGTGCTCACTAACAACGTAATAATTTTCTCCGAACACATTTCGACCGCTCCTCACAACTGCCCTCGCGCTCCCCGCCTTTCTCCCCCTTCCCCCGGTTTCCACGGGGGTGCGGCTCTGACACGTAATCCAACCGAATTTCAGATTATTAAAGGCAAACTCCCGCGAATTCTCGCCCTAACTCGCTGGCAGCTTGTATTATAACAGTTCTTTACTTGAAATTTGAGTCTCTTGTAGTGGATAACTTTTTGTATAATAAGAAAACAGTTTTGTGTGAGTTAAATGATCAAGGAAATTGGTTTATAACGTTAATTTATAACGTTAATCCCATAAGCGATTGTGATACTTGTTTAACAAGCTTTAATTATATTGATTATTACAAATTAGTTTAGTATCAGTTGCACGTGCCGTTTACCTACGCCGATCGAAGCTCTCTCTCTCTCTCTCTCTTTTCCTCCTCCCTCTCCAGTGGGAAAACATTTCGGCCCGTGATTTCCTATATGAAATGAAATCTGTAAAAAGCTTTGCAGTTTTGTGACCTTGTCCTTCCACGAAATTACTCCGTGTCGCACACGCCGTCGTGAAATCCCCCAGGTAGCGTATGTTTTCGCGGCGTCGAGTGCGAAGTGCAAAACAACGAGTCGATATATCGATTCATTTCCGATAATGTATTACGTCCCATGGCGAAAACACGGTGTGCAGATATATATACATAAACGTATCGCGTATCGGCATCGGTCGATCCCCCTATCTCGATAGTATCGAGTTTCGCGTTTAACGCCCGCCCGCCCGCGTTTCCCGAAATTATCATCGGCGTTGGAGAATGCGGCGCGAAAGAAAAAAGTACGTCCTCGCGTTCGGCGACGATGATGTATCGATCGTTGCACGCGCCTATCGCCAGAAATAACTGCAACGGTAATCACTTTTAGCAGGCGAAAGTAATTTTAACGTTTATTATACCCTCGGCGTACTACCGACTTCGATACGGCGGGGCACACGTATAGGAAAAAAAAAATTATACGCGCAGAAAAATTCTATCCCCGAGACGAGAGAAAATAATGCGAATAAACGATTGATAATTCGTATTTCGTGACGATTGAAGTCGAGGCGATTTTTCGCCGGATGAAACAAGTGTGTCATTGTTCGCTCGCTCGACCGCGACGGCCAAGTATAGGCGCAATCGCTCCGTGTATACCGAGAATACGGCAAAGATTCCGGAAAATAAATGCTTAACGCTCTGATGCCGATCGTTTGTTTCGCTGGAAATTACGAGAGCGTCTGAAAATTATCTCGATAAAATATTTGCGCACGCAGATATGCAGAGCCAGATAAGGAAACGTAAATTGATTGGCGTATTTGTATTTCTCCGTGTGCTCTTTCTCCGCTTTGAAATTCTCGAATATTAATTTAGCGATTTGAATCTCGCCGTTTGGAGTACTCTTGAAAATTGCGCGTTCGCGCAAACACGATATGATACTACGTTTGCACAGCTCGCGAGGCTGACTTGCCGCCCTTATCACCGCTCGCCACGAGAGACATGTAGACCGCATACGGGAAATCACCGACACACAGAGGCAACAGTGAACGTGATACCGCGCGCGTGTTATAACCGCCGACAGACACCGCCGCGCGTCTCCCTGGTGCGAGTGCAACGAGGCAGGGTGCACGACCCGACTCCGGGGCAGCAGCGGACGATATAGAGCGAGCCGCGTGTATTTCTAGAGCAGCCGGGTTTAAGAATAGAACAGCAAGTAGACGACTGAATTAAATATAGACTGGTGAATGACCGGCAAGTAGATTGCGAAATTTCATTGAAGTCACGAAGATCTGCCTCGCCGTGGCGCGCAGTTAAATCCGGTATCCCCCTGTGTCGGAGTCCGTAAATCGTTAATTGGATGGCTATTGGATGCTTGATAGCGGTAGGCGAATCACCAATATTTTCTTTTCCCCCTTGTTGCCGAGAAAGTCGCGATCCGGTTTCGATTCCCAGTAGAATAATTATAGACGTTTGATGAGCGATTGCAGTTTTAATCGTCCCCGGGGCAATCTATATAAGATGATCGATGAACGGCGCGATCGTAATTTATAAAGTTCAGACTTTTGCTCGCAGTTAACATGAAAAAAAAAATTGTTTAATTAGATTCGGAATTCCTCTGAATTCGACCTCAATGTTGAATTAAGATTGTTTCATCTTCTAATAATCCTTCAAAAATTCACGGAAGCGTATACAAGTAATATAGCGTCAGAAATATCTGCGAAACGTCTGGTTCTCCATTTCTTCTTTATCAAGAAATGCAAAAAACGTATGAGAGTTCGCAGAAAATAATCGCAGCTCCGACAGTTGCGAGATTAAAGTCGCGAGATTTGAGGATATATACGGGCGGGGAAACCATTTTCTCGTGGATATCATAGCACGACACACACACACACACACACACACACACACACACACATACATATGTATATATATATATTGCAGTAGAAAATATAAATATCTAGAAATGACAGAGAAAGCAGAAGGATAAGTTCGTGTTGGGAATACGCGACGACCCTGCGCGTGTCTACTGTCCCGGCTTACAGTGACACAACGGTGGAGACGGTAAAAAAATGGATTTGATGGGAAACCAATACCCAATGGCTAGTTCTTTTGTCGGCCTAAAATGTCTCCATTCGTTTGACAACGGAAAACTAAAATCCCGAGCGACACCGCGCTCTCGCGCGAAATTAATGCCTTGGGATTAAGTCCTGCCGAGGGACTGAAATGAAAACGCACGTGTATTAAGCGAGAAAAATCGGAGGTAAAAAGAAAGTTTCTAGCGGCGGTAATCGAGCTTAGACGCTTTCAGTTCGCCGGATGTTCTTCAAACGAGCCGGAATAGCTCGCGTCCGCGGTTCGATATCCTCAATGGAGCCACAATGCACCGGGACGAGTATATTGTTCGACGCGGTAGTACACCGTGTCGGTCACTGAATTCCTTGTCGTTAGTTGATTAAGCTTCACAATAATGCTGCAGTCGTGACGCAATTCAGAGAGAAATATTCGAGAACAAAAGAGGCATTACAGCGATACAGATCACTCGACACAATTATAACATTTCTCTCTTGCAAAAATTTACATTACGTTATATACTGTAACGTTTGCAATTTCATTTAATATTTAAGGTGAGAGAGAAATTAAAAAACTTTTCTCGACGTTTTGCAGAAGGATGCCAGCAGCTGGTGCGGCCGTGCCGGCCGCCGCCGAGGGAGCCGGTCAGCTGGAGGACCTGGACGAGCCGCCGGAGCCACGTGTACGCGGTGGTAGTGGACGGGCCGGTTTGATGAAACCCCTGGTGGTGTTGGCCCTGCCCGGGATGTATCTCTTCTACAAGTACAGCCAGTACAGGAGGGAGCAGCGCGAGTTATCCCGGAGAAGAGTGACCGAGAGGGAGCTTCAGCATCTTCATCACAAAATCGTGAGTGAATTTTTGAGTCGTGCATCTGTTAAATTCGTGCCTGCTTATACCCAGGGCGGGTAAACTAACAGGTCAAGGAACTTGCGCACGAGACTTGCGTCTTGCGACCGAGCCATCCCACGTTGCTGTTACGTCATAGGTCTATCATTAGCGGCCAATCAGAATAGAATAATAATTTCGACTATACATGGCACGGACACGTTTGCACATATTTATTTATGATCGCTCGGGACTTGTCGGATATTATTTTCACGCTTGGGGGGAAACGAAAATACAAGCTGCTCCGAGCTGCTACGAATCGAAGAGAACGAGTAAAAAAAAAACGGATAAACGGTAGCCGAAAATAAACGTGATATACCGCTATTGGCCTCAATAGTCATTTATTATACATACATTCGAACGAGATTGCTTTCGGTATGCCGTATTCCCGAAGACAAACGACAACTCTGAAAATGTGACGCGATGAAAGTATTATTGCCGCCGATATTGATCCCTGACGTGAGCGACAACGAGTTCATGGGAAAAATCATTTTACCCTTTCTAATCAAAGGGGTTCATGCTTCTCGATGTACGTCGTTTATCGGAGGTCCGTCAACTGAATGACGAGAATGCATATCTCTCTATGAGGATGTTAATAACACGGAGGCGACAGGGTAGAAGGATGAAAAGGAGGATAAGCTACGAGAGAGAGAGAGAGATCGCGAAGAAACGATGAAAGGGTTCGATTACCCGGCGGTAACATGATCATCCCCCAGATCTCTCGGAGAAAGCTGTATCATCTCCTAAAGAGTATATAACCACTTGTTTTTGTGTGCCGCGATCCTTATTAAACAGCCCGCTTGGCGACGTTTCTGTCTTCGTTATCATCTTATTGTTAGATCCTCACGTCTCTCGCTCGCCTTATCTCACGAAGGAAATGAGATCGTATCACTTAATGCTGTTCCGTATCTCCGAAACTTCGTCTACCGTACCCACATAATTTTTCCGTCAAAATAACTCCATGATCAACCCTCTGATCTTAATTTTGTTGAGAAAAAGAAGATTTCACGATTTTTCGCATCGTGATGCGATATTTATATGTATGTAATTTACATTGAGAGAGAAAATAATGTTCGATATTTGTGACTACAATAATTACATAGTAAAATAATTATGGGTAGCTCCATTTTTATAATTATTAATATTTCTATAATATTTGTAATAATAACTATATTGATAGTTCTACCAAATAAATATAGTTGGCACTAAAAATAACTATATATATATTATATTTGAATTACAGTTAAATTATGGTAATTATAACTATTTTCTCTTTATGTATGTACATGGCGGTCATGTTATTCCGTTTAAAGTACGATACAAAAATCTACGGTTTTTCCCACTGTGGCCCACTGCACTCAATGTCCACTCGAGAGATAGCTAACGCTGCGGAATTCATCTATGGAAACTCGGGGGAAACTCTGTAAACTCTGAAACACGTATTGATTTCCGTCCGTCCCGGGCTATCGTGCTTCGGTCGACTTAGCGGGTGCTGATGGAAAGGCGACTTACGGTGACTCGCGATGTATAAGATGCGCGGCAACAGCGTATCGGAAACGACGTGCCCCATCAGCAAGTAGCTCGCTCGTTGAAAAATATCGGTAAAGCAATCTCGTTTGCGATTCTGATTGAATAAGAGAAATCGCGGACATTTTTCTCTTCCTCTCATTATTCCACTTATATAAATTAAATCTCGGCTATGCGACATGTACAAACTGTTTTGGAACTCACGACACGATGCTCCAGCGATTCTCTCAAGGTCGTTCCTTGCGGCGTCCCGGTTCGGACAATTTGTTGGGTCAGTGCTAGATCTTGGCGTAGCAAAACCGCGGCAAGATGGAGCGAGTAAAAAGTGTCCCCGCTAGGGAAGCCTGCCAAGAAGCTGCATATACGGTCGACGGATCGTTACTGGGATATCTCGAATGCCGCGTGCAGCCTCCATAACCGTGGCTCGCGTTCGCGGTGCCGTGGAAACCGGAATTTCACGAAGCCAGTTCACGTCCAGCCAGCTGATTTATCACCACGTGTGTGCTACTCGCTATCGGAAACTGGAACCGTACTGGACAGCGGCGTGGGAGGGAGGAGGAAGCGGGACAATATTCCATTATCGGCGCGAGCGAAAAAGCATATAGGGAAAACTTGCAAGAGATTAAAATTGTATCGTTTGATATCAGCGTGCTCGCGTGATATCAAACGATATCCACGGAAGAGGGGGGAGGCAGGAGAGAGAGCCTTGGAAATTTCCGCGTCGAAGCGATCGCAACCTCAACCTTGACAATAAACACACGAACTTTAAGTAAAAGCGACCGAGTGAACCGAGTCCCGGAGTCTCGCTCAAAAATCAAGCGATTCTTACGAACCGAAGTAAACTTGACGGCGAACGAGATGTAGGTGGCCGGCTCGCGTTTCTCAGATAAAGCTCACGCCAACTTGACGTTAAGATCCCGATCGTACCTGGGCCGAGCACGTGGACTTTTATCCGTTGTATTCGTTTACCGCCGTCGTGACAACGACGACAGCCGAG